ATTTGTCGGACTTGAAACACAGTTCTAAATTAAAGCTGAAGTACATAATATCGTAAATTGACAAGTAATATTTAACAATACTGATGTTAATGAATATCTTTAAAACATCGTAAAGAATTTAAAGGTATACATAATTGTTCACAACTCGAGTTCGTTGCATTACACTCGATATGAACGGCCCACAGGATTATCATTTCGTGAAATTATGGCGACACCCATTCTCATCCCGTTATTGTCATTGTCGTCTGGCTCATCGCCAAACGCGGAGCTTGGTTCTCGCGGTGAAACATGTCGACACCGAATTTATAATGCAAACATATGTGCGCGTGAGACGTGGCAGTGACAGCGATCGACACGCGGCACGATTATTCTTTCTCGTTTTGTTTCGTTTACATCCACAAGACGCGCAATTGTGATTCATGAGCCAGCAAATCTTGCCAAAATGGATTACGCTTTCCGCGAATATGACACAGGCGATTTTCGAACATGACGCAAATTCGCAGGATACAATCCGGTGCATAGTTGCCATTTTCTTGTCGAAGACCCCATGATTTTGTCGGAGATCGATTGCCTATCAAAATTGTATCTTGTAATGCATTCTTTAAAAAAAGAAAGTCATCAAGATTTATACAATGCAGGATGTCCGATAAGTTTTGATAAAGAACTCATATGTAGGTAGAGCGGACTAAACTGAATAAAAAGTCCCCTACTTTTTGCAATTTTCGCCATTTTTTTTTTAGTTACTCGATGAGCAAAATGTCTAAAATCGACGCGTAAAACAACTTTAGAATATCTTTAAAAAGTTCTTTAAAAAAAATCTTTAAGATATTTCATAAAGAACTCTGAAAGATATTTTAAAGTTGCTTTATGCGTCGATTTTACCAGCTTATTCAATGTTTAGAAATTAATATCTCGTTAACTGTTCCGAAAATTGCAAAATGGTAGACTTTTCGAGTCAGTTTAGTCCGCTCTATCTACATATAAACGTTTTATCAAAATTTACGGGACATTCTGTATACAATTTTGATAGGCAGTCGACCTCCGGCAAGATAATAGTGGAATCTCTGGCAGGAAGGGGGTGAGTTTTTTAATTCAGCATAAATCCACCACATTTTCATCGGACGATTAACAACATGACGTCTCCGATGGATGCTTGATGGTCTACTTTAAAGAACGGTTTAATGAAAATAATGACAAAATTGAATTCTCTCAATTTAATGTGTCAATTAAACAATAATTATTAAGATACCTCATATTTTTTGTCAAAGCTGTACATTTTTACATATTATTTACATATTACATATTTTTTGCAATTATAATCACTGTACTTGGTACATACCTCAATTGAAATTCTAGATAATCGAAAATGTGCTTTAAAGTCTATATCTGAGTATAAAGGCACTATTCTTGAAAAGGAATTATCAATTTTTATATGCTTAACACGTTTATGTTTAATTAATAATAAATCCATATCATTATCATTGTTGTTGGTCATTGAAAATGAAGAATCAGAAGAAGATTCATCTTTGAACATTTTTTTTATTAAATTATAATATTGTTTCCATATTATAATGCCCATAAAATACAATATTAACCAATAATCATAATTAATATTTTAAGAAATATACCCGCACCATGTTTAATCAGAAACTTCATCGGTCCATCGACTAAATTAGTCGATGGATCTGATGGATATGCGATGATTTCAGCGCTGTAAATAAAATTAATGTATTTAATCGATGAATAAAAGAACTCTTTGATACATTTGCACTTCATGCGATTGATCAATCCATGAATAAAAAACTCACCCAAAGGTAGCAACCGTGATCCGATATATTATATTATTGGCTGTGTTCCAAATTTACTGTCAGCGCTGAAAATCTACAGTTTACGTTACGTGCACTATAGATTTTCAGTATCGACAGTTAATTTTGGAACATAGCCATTGTGTCACGGTCCCGCGAGATGAAATGTGTTTTTTAATTCGATAGCGCCTATTTCGCAGTCATCGACCGATCCGTGTTTACGTTTGCACAAAGAAGGTGCCAGAGCGTCGTGTACTCATTGAGAAGCTTTCAACCCGTCCGAGGTTATTTTTCTTAGCTATTAAAAAACAGACTGTTTGCCTAAAAGACCCAGGGAATAAAAGTAACTCGTTACTTGTAAGTAACGAAGTTACAGTTACAAGTTACTTTTTTGGTAACTGTAACTTTTGGTAATGTATAGTTACATATATTTTATTGGTAACGGTAACGAATTTTATAGTTACTTTTATCGTTACTTTGCATACGATGGACACGGTTCGATTGGACACAAGCCACTCATAACTCTTGAGATTAGAAAGCCTCTAGGCACACGTCCGCTGTGATTGGTGGTCGTCGATTTTAAAAAAGTAACGAAAAGTTACTTTCTCAAGCAACGGTAACTGTAACGAGTTACTTTTAAAAATCGGTAACTAGTAATTTATTACTTTTTCTACTCGAGTAACTTGTTACACTGAAAAAAATATTTGTGTAAAATTACATGATTATGCTGGGTTTTTTTTCCAACCCAGCATAATCATGTAATTTTACATGTAATTTTACGAACATTTTTTTCAGTGTACTTTTAAAAAATAAGGAAGTGTTTATATTGACCGTAATCGTATGCCGTAATCTGTAAAAATCGTCTAATCACAGTCGAATATTCCCCTTTCATTCGATTGTAAAAAGGGAATACTCGAAGGTGATTGATCAATTTTTACAGATTACGGCATACGATTGTGTCCAATATAGACGCTTCCTAACTTTCCATTCCCTGAGAAGACCAATCCTCTCCTTCCTCTAACGAAAAAGATGTGTTAACGATACGAATCTCAATAACGATACAAAATAAACGCGACCGAAATTTGCGGCGCGAACGTGCAATGAATTTGGGTATACGATTATGAATGTATAAGTATATACGTCTGTCGACAATCAGTGGGTGCATTCAGAACAGACAACCGCTCACTGAGCTCTTACATCTGATTGGCATATTCCATTAGATCCTAAAATATAGACCAATCAAATGAAAGAACTCACTGAGCATTCAATGAGCGGTTGTCGTTCTGAATGCACCCAATGGCTGCATTCAGCAGAGACAACAACTTTTTGGAACTGTTATAACATTCTTTAAGCCTATGAACTAGGAAACAAAAAGCACATTGTAGAATACTACAATGTGCTTTTTGTTTCCTGTTTTTGCTTTTTTTACATCTTATCTTTTTACTTCTTATCCGGTTTTTTGTTTTATGTCGCCCGAGATAAAAGTTAACGAACTTCGGCAGAAACAGAAAACACGTAGCAAAAAATACAATTGTCGATAAAACGATTGCAAAGGGGGAAAAAACAAAAGGTAAAAAGCAAGAAACAGGAAATAAAGAGCACATTGTAGAACAGGCTTCAATTTGATTGCTTTATACATTTAGGTCCAGTGAGAAACTAAGGGCACGATCAATCATATTGGCTGCGTTCAGCAGAGAAAGCAGCTTTGCAGCTGTTGTAAAATTCTTCAATATGAATGGTTTATATATTTAGATCCGTAAGGAACCAAAAAAAAGTAAGAACCAATCGTATTCAAGAATCTTACAACAGTTGCAAAACTGTTTTCTGTTGAACGCAGCCATTGACTGTGTTCAGCAGAAAAAGTAGCTTTGCAACTGTTATCAGAGTCTTTAATATGACTGGTGTTCTTGCTCTTTTAGTTCTTCATTGGATCTAAATATACAAACCAATCATATTTATGAATCTTACAACAGCTACATTGCCGCAAAGCTGTTTTCTCTGCTGAATGCTAAACACAGTCAATTATTAATTATCCGATGGCGCCGCATCGATCGATTTTCCAAACGATCCCGCCTCGTGTTACGCGTAAAGTCGGTCATCAGATTGTTTTTGATATGTTGCATAGCTAGGTAACCTGTTGCCAGACGCGAACACATCTACGTGTAAACAACGCCGGGCGAAACGGTATGTGGCCGTTCGCGCGCGATCGATGATAAACTTATGCGAGCCGCTGCTGTTGCTGCTGCTGTTGCTATTATAGGCCTATTCTTTTTGGCTGAATTTTTGCACCAGTTCATCTTTCTTCCTTTTCTCTCCAGGAGGAAAGAAGAGGAAGAAAGATGAACTGGTGCAAAAGTTCAGCAAAAAAAAAACTTGCTTAATTATATTGCTCGGCGGGCTCAACCCGGGGCGGCGCTAATGACGATATTGACGATTAGGGATCTGCTGGACGGGCGCAAATTGGCGCAAATTTGCGTGGATGAGCCTACTCGAACGATGAACGAACGGTAGATATTGGGATCGTGGATGGAAAGAAAGGAGGAGATCCCATCGCGAAAGGAAATTACGTGGAAGTACCGTTGAAAATATGGAGACTCAAAATACCGCGACTGTGGGGGCACCCGGGCACCGCATGCAAACTGTCACGCCCGTTCGCGATCTACGTCTCTTGGAAATAGAATTTCGCGATGAATGCGACGCGAAAGCTTGGCCGTCACGTATGTACAATTCAGACTGCGCGCGCGAGTCTTCTGTATGTTTTCGAACGAGATCGCGTACCCGACGTACTCGTGTACCCTCGGCGGCGCGGGTATTAAGACCATAGCACACATCTTCCGTAACAGTAACCATAAGACGTACCGTAAGAATCAGTCGATCACAGTCGAGAATTCTATTAAACTCTTAATTTTAATTGGCCGATTCTTAAGGTATATCTTACGTTACTGTTACGGAAGGTGTGTGCCATGGCCTTTAGTGGTGTTATGTCGAAATGCGCAAAAGTATACGCACCACTTTTTCTATCTCGTCGGTCGTGAAGAAAGGACGAGTCTCACGTTCGTGCGCGCTGCGTGTTTCGAATGGAACCGAATAACGAAAATAAAGGGGAAAAAAAAGAAAGACTTCGCCGAGAGCCAATTGCGGACGACAAACAAGTATCCTCTTGCGAGCCGAACAAAAGCAGTGAAAAGCAGTTACCTGTAGACTGTCGATGAGCTTCAGCTCTTCTCCGCGAAGAAAACGGGCGAGTCCGTTTGCGCACCGATAACACCTCACGCCATGAACTTCCCTCCCGATGACGAAGCGCCCCTCCCCCTCGATTTAGAAAATCGCCACCGATCGCTGCGAGCTGCTCGCCTCTTCTTTCCTCTTCCTTTCCTCACGAGAAGACCTCGCGGAAATCGTTACATCCTCTATCTACTGGAAACTGCGCTCTTCCCTTAAAGTCGCCAGATCGACGACGGCGGCGACGGCGGCGACGACGACGAATCCGTCGCAGCAGCTAGTCAGCTACCGCTACCCTCTCGTTTCTTCCTTTCCTTTCTTTACGTTTCTCCCTTCCTCAAAATGAATTTTCACGCGCACCCGCCTTTCCGCCGCGAAAGACCGTGGACGAGTAAAGGGCTAAAGGCTGCTAAAGGCTGTTTCTTCTATGTTGTACTAAATACGAACGTGCACGAGCTGGAGGACACGCCTCTGCGAGGCATGGCGCAGACTCGGACGACGGACTCCACGCTCTGCAGAAAGCAGAGTGCACGGGTGGCGGCGAGCTCAGAGAAGCTTGTCGAAAGTGGTCGGAAGCCACGGAAATCCACAGGGGCCTTTAACTCCGGCGAAAATACTCGATATGCGCAAGTCAAGTCATTTGCGGTGGCGGCGGTTTAGTATGTCATCGTAAAGCGCAAGATCGCGGATATTCGTAACGAAAAAACTTACAGTTCTGAACGATCGATCGTAAGATCTTTCTTTCTTCACAAAATCACAATAATAAAACGATGATAGATGATCTAGCCGGAAATATACCGATCAGATGTTTCGCGACAATTCGTACATTTGAACGGAGGATGACGTAAAGACGGCAGCTTTTCAATATCATTACTAGACTTCCTAATCACAGAGTCTGGCCGTAACAAGGAATAAGGAATCCGATATTTCTTTTCAAAATTGTACGAGTGAGGAAAAATATGTTAATTTCGCTCTGCAGTGATGTGAAACGGAGGTTTATTTAAAGATACGTGCTATCTTACTTTACTACGAAACGAATTTGATGAAACATATCGGGTCAATCATAGGTTGCTCTCTGATGATCAGACTGATTAGAAAGCATTAGAGAATCTCCAATCATTACAGTACACGATTTAAAAGAAAGCAGCGTTCTTTATTATAGAGAAAATTATTCCAGTAATTAATCGACAATAAAATCAATTTATTGCTTATATATTTTTCGTCCTTATATAATAAATCTCTGTTTTAGCTTCAATAAATTGAAAATAGGAAGCGATATATGTTGAATATACACGTATCACAGTTGAGTATCATGTCTCAGTCAAGAAATGCAACGGTAATATAAAATAAATTTGTCAGAAAAACCAGGCACTAGTGCGCTTCTTGAAGGCAAAAGTAGCTAATATGAAGCGCTCCAGATAACATAATTATCGTACTCCGCATGCGTATTTCGCATTTTAACAGTAAACTTGTGTATCATTTAATCAACGTCGTAAGGCACTCTATCTCGTCATCGCCACGGCTTCCGTACGGCTCCCGTGCTCGTACTTCTCCTGATTCCTTGATCTGTAATTCAAGAATATATTCGAGTACATCCACACATTACGGAAAATTAAGTGTATGATGAAAGCGAATGTAAAAAGCTTACGCAATGCATTTGGTGATATAAGTCTGTCTCTAATATCCGAAGTCCACGTTTGACATCTAGACCTAACTAGATTCCTTTTAACGGCCAACGGTCGCTTGGCCATTCTAAATAATAGCGAAGGTATAACCTTAATAATAACAAATGCGATATTGACCGCTATATGGATAACACAAATAAGCGAAAAAGTACTAACTTTATTCAGACAAAGCGGATCTTGGTCTCTCTAATAATATTTTTATACTCACATAATCTCAATAGTTATATAAAGCAGATGGAATTCTATAATATATAATTACAAGAAAAGGAATTTTCGTTTTGCGTTATTTGAATATTTTGATTTAAATTTATATTCAACATCTCTTAGTATTAAAATAACATAATTTATAAGTAAATGGACAAATAATATAAAACTTGTATATTTTAAAACGTACAAAAATTTCTAAGACAAATGAATAAAATGTATTAATTTTATATATTATAAATGTTAATTTTACTGAAAAAAAATATGCTTCCACAATTTACTTACAAATTGTGTTACATTTGTTGTATTAATTTTTTACATAATATTTGTGTTACTTCTTAACAACAAATTCATTTTATGTTAAATTAACATATAGATTTAGGTTTGCCGTTTGGGACACATAAAATGTGTTAAATTTAATACAAATTTTCTTACTGTGTACTTATTTAATAGAATTTTTGTGTTGTCACTTTTAGACTGTTGTGCTAGTCCAGAGATCACTCAATCGACTGATACTAATTCAAATTATAAGATTCAAGATCGATCACATCATGTATTCTAAAGAGCGTGAAGCTATTTTTAAATATATACAATGCTGAAGATGGCTCAAAATTGAGTCCAAACATATGTATCTTAAATAAATTTTGTTCATTAATTTATTTTACACACCGAGATCCGCGTTTGACTCTTCTCAGTCTATCGATTTTTTTTGTTTTTTTTTTTAAGAAAATGAAAGTACGTTATTACGTGGATTCGAATTCCTTCAGATTCTTTCTGGCTAAAGTCTTCTGGGTGGCGAACGAATACGATCGAGCCGAAGTCGGGCGTTCCATTCGAGATTCCTTAATTTCGCGATCATGCGCGATTATTTTCATTCTCTTCGTCGGAGACTGGGCGAATAATTCCACTATATTCATGGAAGCCGCGTCGCACTTGAAAACATTAAACCGTTAAATTATTGCGTGCTCTTAACTAAAAGTCTGTAAATACAAGCGACGAAATAACCCAGATAGACAGACATGTTCAGCATAACATGTTACATTAATTGCGCTGTAAAAAAATTGCGCACTGATAAAATAAGTAGCATATTGCCACAATTTTATAACATCCAATATGCTGGAAACATTCATGTCGTACAAGGTAACATTTACCTGTGTAAACAGAATATTGTCGCATTTTTTACATTAGAATAACTCTTTGATATGCTAGAAACATTCATATCATATGAAGACGCAATTTGAATATTTACGCAATTATTTTCAATGTTCAAATTTTGTCACTAAGCAGACAATATGCAAAATTTATCTACCTGGGAATTTTATAAGCAAAAAAACGAGTAATTACTTGCAACTGAAGACGATGAAGGAATTCCACTTCTGCCAAGTTTAAAGGCGCGTCAACGTGTAATTTAAGCATACATTGCAACGCCTCCTTATATATCTTTTTCAATGTAATAACGCGTTCGGTATGCATTAACCTGCGTACTAAGTAACCACGTGTATAAGCGTTGATAATATTCACCGCCTGTACCTATACAGTAATATAATTTTAGTATCTTTTTTTCAACAATGGAAATGTTAGGATCATAATATTGAAATTGCAAATTGTACTCACATGTTTATCGAAATATACCATGGTGTCTAGTACTGGTACATGCGTAGTATTACTATCTAAGGGAAATAATTGTCGACTCACATTGAAATTCTTACATACAAGATCGCGCGACTTGCAATGGCTGTTATCGTCATTATTACCGTTATTATTGTTATTATTATTACTATTATTATTATTATTATTATTATGCGTAGTATCGTATAAACTCACTTTTCTCGTAAAATCAAAATCGAGAGTCGCCGAAGAATTGTCCGCAATAAAGGATTGATATTTAAGCAGATGTAAATTTTTCGAAGAAATGTAATCCAACGGACATACAATCATTCGATTCGCTGATGGTAATTTAATATTATAATGCATTTCAGCGTGTATATTATTGGGAGAGTCTGTATCCATTTGTTGCCTTGCCTCATGACTAATTGGTTTTGCTTCGTCGCTCGACAACGATCGATTCGACGCAACGTTCAACGCATTTGTTTGATGTGAGATACCAGAGACACACTTTCGTATTTCTGCTAACAGAAGTATTTGCTGCTTCTGGAATTCCGCTTGTAGCAGCGATTGTTCTTTTCGCTGACGATATATCAGCTCCATCATCTGCTTCTTGTGCATTTCTTCGATCTCTTTATAAACCATCAAGAGTTTATCTGGTGTGGAAGACTTTGTTTTAATAGCTGAATCATGATATTCTGCAGTATTCTCTTTTTTATTATGCTGTCTCTCATTTATATAAGACAACTGAATTTTAGGACTATTTGTATCTCCTGCATACTTGTCGATGTCACTATTTTTCTCCGATTTTTCTAGAGAACTTTGCTTCATAAAATCTGTATTATACCTATGATTATGTTTAATTGGTGTGGCATCAGGTCTGTATGCATCTTCCTCAATTACCATTTTAGTAGATTTATTTGCTTGATGTGATTCTGTTGAATCATCAGATTGTCTATGCTGGGAAGTTAATTGTTTCGGTGTACCTTCTAATTTGCTTAAATCTTGAATGTGTTCTACCATAAACTGTTTATTTTCCCATTCTGCCTTAGGCTGCGCAATGTTCCATTGTTTTCGTTGTGACACATTAGTGGTAGGTGTAGGAATGTATTTTTCGTCAGTTAATTTTGTATGCATATGAGCAAGCAATATAGGACTGGGTGTATCCAGTATATACGAACCTTGACGCGACAACTTGGGTAGATTTTCAGGAGTCTCCTTGGAAATCTCCATGGAAGAAGTCTCTTCCTCACATACATCGTTACTTAATGTTATCGGAAGTACGTTCAGCGTTCTAGGTATTTCTGGTCTCCAATTATCTAGCAATGTTACATCTTCGTTTGGTGTTGCCGTTTCTATTACATCAACACTATTTCGATCAGTCACAGCAGCTGTAAGTTTTGAATCATTAACAATATCGTTTGTTAAACAAACTTGAAGATGTAAATGCTGTACATCTGGTATAGAGGACTGAATATCATGATTATCTCTGGTTTCTCCTTCAACTTGCAGCATTGGTTCAACAATAGTCATTTTGGAATACGAGTCCCTATTGTTGGTATCACTTGTAATGTCACGAGTGGATATATCGCTGTCTGAACTATATCTTATATTCTTTAACTTATCTATTGGTTCTAATATAACAGATTCCATGCATTTATCTTGAATGATGTGTTTAACGAGTCGTCTGTCCCTCAAGTTTTCCTCCACTTTGACTGCCAGTGATCTGTAATGTCTCATTTCTTCTTTGATGGTGTCTGTCATCTGAAAACAACATAATATTAATATAAAACAATATTCCACAGCTGAGGTTACGAAGCTGCATTGGTTAATGAATTCACCATCGGTGGAAGAAGAGGTGTCCCATTTATTTTCATACAAGAGGTATAAAATTGTTTCTGCATGTTTTAGGTGCAATCTTGAGAATACACTTTGTCGTAATCCACTAACGTTCCTGGAAAAAAATAAGATAATTATTTAGAATACAGATCCTCTC